CTAGCCTGCACGCTTTCTACACGCTTTGTGCCAAGATGTCAGGGTTTAGGGCTTAGGGTTTAGGGGTTTAGGGTATATAGGGTTTAGGGTTTATAGGGTTTAAATGTGCTATGCTCGTCAGGAACGGAACTCGTCGAAAAGTTTGGAATGCGTAATGTGGCTTCAAGTTCACGGCAATTTCACGGCAAGCTACGCAAACTGAACAGGTTAAGACTGTGAAAGCTCCAGACAAGAAACCCTTGTGTGGTGTGTTTTCCGAATCTGACACATCGCGTGCTTGAGGCCAAAGCCGCAGCCCATTTTTGGCTTTACCATCCTCGGCTCAGGGATGTTTACATGTGAGCATGATGAGAACTCTAAATCCCAACTCAGGCAAGCCCCAAGAAAACAGAGGCTGTGCCAGCAACCTTACGAGCAGACATGTCGTAAACTGGAACATATCGAAATGCCATTTCTGTCTAACAAACCCAAAACTCCAAAAACAAAACCAACATGGGTTTAAGGTCTCAGGGTGTCTATGTGACTTATCCGTTTAAGGATCTACTAGACTACTCCGTCACAACCCAGCCCTTGCTTTCCTCCCAGCGCCCGCACCAGCGCTCTGCAGAAAAGCGCAGCGGTGCCCTCCGGGCGGCAGACAGTCAGCTTGGGGCTCATAGAGGTTGAGGGTTTAGGGTATCAGGGCTTATAGGGTTTAGGGTTTAGGGTATCGGGGTATAGGGTTTAGGGTTTAGGGTTTGGAGTTTAGGGTTTCGGGTTTGGGGTTTTGGGTTTAGGGTATCAGGTTTAGGGTTTGGGGTATCAGGGTTTATGGCTTAGGGTTTATGGTATCAGGGATTATACAGCCTAGAGACCAGTTTAGGGTTCACAGGGTCTTACGGTCCGACGCTTTGGTCTTAAGATTTGCCGGTGGCTGAGGATGATTAAGAAAAGTCTTAGGCCATGCAGTCTCAGACTTTAAGGTAAGGGGTAAAGCATACCCTAATACCCGTTACAAGGTCTGTGCGACCTCTGCAAAAGGTGCTTTGGGAGGGTGAAGTTTTGCCTGCAGGCAGCACTCTGACTGCAGCCACAGCAAGGACTGCAATTTGACATTGTCTGCGCTGCCGTATTTGTTTACAGTGACGGACGAATGGTCCGGGAAGCTTTCGCAAAGATGTCCCACTCGAAGAGGCACTTGCACTACCACACACAACTCCAAAGAGCGCTGGCAACGTCGAAGCCAGAGTGCTGCCTCAGCAGGCTTAGTCCTCCAACCCATAAAATCCGCGATCCGAAGACCCTACAAGTAATATTCAGGCCTGAATAATTAGAATAGTGTTTTGGGGGCCCAGTAGACTATGGTTATAATGAGGCAGCCCCCCAAAAAAGTATTGGTAAGTATTCAGGCCCCTGTCGTATCCCGGAGACCCGATAAACTCCCAAGTTCCAGGATTGCGTGAGAACACCAAGCCCTTACCCATAGGCTCGTAAGTAGTTCCTTTTTGTGGCTCATAGATAGAATCCTATAAGGTAATCCCAAAAAGGAACTACGGAGCCTATGGGTCGACTCTACGGCCTCTACGGACCCTCAACTTGGCAAAAAAAGTCTGCGTAAATTATGTATCCCAAGCAGAAACCAGTCAAACTCTAACCAAAGACGCTCTAAACCCTACACGCCCTACACCTTCAACCCCCCCCCCCCTTCTTCCGGTGCTAAACCCTAAGACCCTCAAACCCCTCGACCCCTCAAACTCAACCCTACATGTCTTGGTCAGGTCAAGGCTTGGGCCTCAGGGAATCTAGGGTTGAGGCTTTTTTAGGGGTTTAGGGCTCAGAGGGGGTTTCGGGGATCCTTGAAAGGGATCTATAAGGGTTCGATTTTCGAAGGGGATCTATATGGGGTTTAGGGGCTTAGGGGTTTAGGGTCTAGGGGGTTTAGGGGTTTAGGTTTTAGGGGTTTCCCAGCCATCAGTAGCCCCTGAATAAGGGTACCCTTCTTCCGATTGTTTGGTGTGAATCAGGGAACCCCCCAGAAAGGGCTAAAAGGGTACTGCTGGGGAACCTATAGGGAGTGAGGGGTGAGACCTCAAGAAGGTAGGGGAGGCCGCAAGTATACCGGCCCTGATAGTTGGCGTAGGGCTCTGGCTAAACTATACTACCGAAATTTAGGGACTGCAGGGAATATCATGACCAAGTATTCATACCTATATATCAAGCCCTCAGCTGTCAACCGACATCAAACTGCTGGTAAATAGGCTCTACAATTCAGGCGTGAGTTCTTTGAATTGCGGCGAGAACTAGAAGCCCTTAATCACCGCACCACCATCCATACCAAACAAAGTTAGGAAAAGTGTAAACATTGTCGAGTTAAAGCTAAAACCTCAAAACCGCGAGTCCTTGAAAGCATATCGCACCACATTCAACAACTGTAAAACCCTCATAAAAACCGCCGTTTTCCTAGAGCCGAAATTCAAGAACCCTCGCTGCCCCGTGGTAGCGCTTAGGAAGCCAACGCCTTTTCGGATGTTTCAAGTTCTACAAACTAGTCATTAACAATATCACAAGGAAACTCATGGTCCTCATTATTCCTATCAGTGAGTTGTGGTGCCTCCCATCATCACCATCATCACGGCCATCACCCTCACCTCATGATAAAGGACATAATAGGTAACAGCACACAAAATCAACAAGACTAATACTTGCGAAAATAGAAACTCATTATAACTATGATCGTAGCTACACTGACAATAACGATGACTTCCTAGTCACAAGTCTGGATAACAATGCCAGCAAACAAACAGTAAACACAAGATCGATAATAACAACTAACAGATGTTATCAAGTAGGCTACATAACAATAGAACAGAATAAACATATATACACGTGATAACTATTGCAATATTAACAATACAACCCAACGCAATGACAGTAGTAATCATAACCGTAAGAAATACCAGTGAGTAAACAAGCCATGCACAAACGACAGAACACACACATAAGTCATATTCATGGCAGCATTCATAACCGACGTCGTATAAGCAATGACTCATGACAACACTGCTAACTGGAATATCAATCGCAATAGCAAGCTGTAACAATAGTACCAAGTTGGCAATCAGAGGCGTGTTTCAGTGTTTCTGAAGCCCTATGAACCCAATGAGTAGAGCCCAAACAGCCACCACATAAACTGATAGATGTACAACGGAAAATGCCGAAGACTCCAAGCCCTCCACCTCTCTCTTGGGCGAAGAAGATCCAGTCTGCCACGCAGCGCGTCTGCCCTCGAAGGCCAGCGCTTTACGGTTGTAAAGGGTTTCTATTGGTAGTCGGGCTCTATATGGGGTTGCCCTTAGACGTGTGAGGAACTTCTGGTGGTTTTCTGGCAGTCTATGTGGGTGTAAGGGCTTTGTGAGGTTCTGGAGGCTTCAGCATCTTATGGGACCACTGCAGCAGTTGCTCAGCTTGGATGCATCATAACGGAGGTGTCCATGCTGTGTGCAAGCTTGCATGGCCACTGTCGCCACCGCACTTGGAGGCACAGCCGGCGTTTTCGACCTTGCCAGCACTTGAGGGCAGTCCTGTGTTCCCACCCGCTCGGTTCTGTGCCACCAGATAACACACCAGTTCTGCTCTTAGGATCAGGTGCCGCTGCACGGATCCACTCATTGGGTGCGTATTTAGCTTAGGATTTATGAGGTTCAGGTTCAGGGCTAAGGGGGGCTCAGGGTTTCGGCGTCTAGCAGGAAGCCTTTAACACCCCTCCAGCCATACAACTTAGATGCCTTACGCCCAGGCTGCTTAGAGACGCTGCAAGCACTCTCTCCCCATTCCTGCACGGGGTTGACCTTGCAGACTTGTGTGTTTCTTGAGATTCAGCTTCACCCGAAATCTTGCAAGCAAAACCATGCTTCCAAGGTGTCTCCCCAAGGCAACAATGCGATCTCTTGCCGACACAATCGGTGCCCCTCGGCCGATGTAGAGATCCCTTGATCCTAGGATCCGACACGAACGGCGTTGCGAAATCGGTCTTGACTAGGCTCTTCAGTAGCCCCGTGAAAAAAGGTATATACTAGGCTAGTTATAACATACTAGAAACCCAGGACCCCAAAAAGTAAAAAAGTATGCTACCGAGCAGCCTAGTTGATAAATAGCAATGGGGTTTGGGGTACGTTCTACTATACCTACATAATCCGAGCTCGGGACTATCCGATTATACATGGAGACCATTGAGGATACTGTATATTGTTAAAAACACAAGCGCTTAAACCTTACCGCCAAACAACGCCGTAAGACTTAATTAAGCCAAAACCAAACCAATTCTGAAGAAACCCCGTGTAGAAAACCTAAAACCCTCAACCCCAAACCCTGAAACCCTAAACCCTTGTGAGCCCTATAAAACCTGTTTCGCCTACAGACTGTCTCAAACAAAGGTCCGACACCTGCCAGAGGCGGGCCGCGAAGGGGCCTCCTGCGCTTATGGACTTGTTTAACGGTTTGGGGTTTGGGGTTTAGGGTCTAGGGTCTAGGGTTTAGGGTTTTAGGGCCTTCAGGGTTTAGGGTTTGGGGTTTAGGGATGTAATGGTATCAGGATCTTGGGATTTTGAGATTTGCTCGGGGCTCCAGTGGAAGCGATTCCGGGAATTCGTCGTGAATTTGCACTACCCCTAACCCCTAAACCCCTAAACCCCTGACCCTAAACCCTAAACCACAATCATGGAATCATGGGTAGCAGCGGCACTGGTAGCCGTAACTGTTGAGACCTCTTGCCTAGATTCTAACTGAAACATCCTGAAACCTCATCTGCAGTGGGTGTAGTGCCTCCATGAAGCTATGTTTCCTTATCATAGGTTCTCAGCAACAAAGCTGACCGGGCACAAACAACAATTTCGGTTGGATAGTAGAGCTACGGGCTATCGAGCCATGTGTTCCAGGTTGCAGTGTTGCTGGTCAGTCACAAACTTTTTGGGGATCCAGCAGTGCCGGTACTATAGATACCTGATGAAGTCCAGCAATACCTCCGGCTCGTCGCCGACCCACACCATATCTTGACGAAAGACGCGGTGCGACTCAACCAGGCGTACCACAAGGTCTCGGCGAGATTGACTTGCTGCGCAAATGCACGCGATGGCAAGTCTGCCACGTTCATTAAAAACATCTTTGCCAGCCTGAGACTGCAGGAGTAGGACTACCATTTCTGCATGACCATTGACCGCTGCAGAGACGAGGGCTTGAATCCCAGCAGGGCCAGCGTGCATCGGAAATCCATTCTCCAACAAGACTCGAGCCGACGCTACGTGGCCTCGCTCAGCAGCACTCAACAATGCCAAGGCATCAGCAGTGACAGGGTAATGGTGGTCTGTGCCAATCCCTGCCTGCAAGAGTGTTTGGAGTGTGTCCACATCACCCTTCGCTGAAGTGCAGATGACGGCGACACATCTTCCGTCGTCTGACACGTCCGTTCCTGCTCCCGCATCCATTAAGAACTGTAGGGTCTGAGTTTGGCCCATGATAGATGCGGCAGCAATTGCGTCTGTCTTCATCGGAGCATAATGGGGCCCATTGCAAACATCAAGAAGCAGCCCTGCGATATCCGAGTGGCCCCGCATGGATGCGCACATAGCAGCTGTAAGGCCAACATCACTTTCCAGTTCAGGGGCAGCCCCGGCTTGGAGCAGCAAGCGCACAACTTCCACATGGCCTTCGCCAGATGTCCAACTCAATGCAGTCATGCCAAGGTTGTCGCGAACATTCAAGTCAGCCTCGGCCTCCACCAGCACTCGGGCAACTTCCAAGTTGTCTCGGAAGCATGCACAGACAAGAGCCGTCCTGCCACGTCGCTGTTGCTGGTTGACCTGTGCTCTGGCCTCTAGAAGCAAGCGCGAGATGCCCACATGGGCGTACTCCGCTGCACGGATGAGAGCTGTGGCGCTCTCTCCTTCTTCATGTGCATTTACATCGGCACCAAGCTCCAAGAGCACACGAGCAGTGTCCAATTCACCGCGCTCACATGCCCAAATGAGAGCGGTTTGGTTATCTCTTACTCTACTCATGCTACCGAGCTGATTTATGTCCGCCCCCGCCTCAGCCAAAAGCCGGACAATTTCTGCGTGGCCTCGTGCGGCTGCAATTACAACAGGAAGTATCTGGGAGTAGCCGCCTTCTTCGCTGCCTTTCAAGCCCGGATCCTGTGGCCGTTGCAAGATCTCCTCCACCTGGGCAGGGGTCACGGCTTCTTCCCGTAGGATTTTGATCAGCTCATCGCGCTGCTCTCCCGAAGCACTGATGAAGGGAAGCAAGACCAGCTGCAGATCCATCGGCGAAACAAGTCTGATGTCGTCCTCCATGATGGCTCCACCGATCATAAGCCGCTGCCTGAATCGCGACACTGCACACGTTCTCCGCAAATCTCGCTTCAAGCACTTCACATCTTCCAGCCGATCCACAGGGAACTCTGCCAACATCTGTCCCGAAGGCAACCACACCTTCAGCATGTCGGGAAGCTCACCAGGAAGATATCTCAGGAAATTCGAGCCCCAACGGCTGCCGAAGAGCTATCCATCTGACCCTGGAGAGCGAACCCCTTAGCCCGGCAAGCCTCGAAACTCTATGTTTCCCAAGAGTAGAGTCAGCGAGCGGTAGTAGTGGTAGTAGGGTGATTCTAGTAGTGGTATGCATTGCAGCAATGGCAGCGGAGTGTATTGTCTCTATACTTTACGCATGATTTTGATTTGTCGGCCCTGATGGCAGCGACACTTACAAGCTGCGCGGCCATCATCGCCTAGGTTCAGACAAGAGGAAGTGGTTCACACAACGGTTTCGAAAGAAAAAGAAGAGTGTCCCAAAAACCCTATAGACTTATAAACCCTAAACCCTGAAACCCCCCAAACCCTCAAACCCGAAACCCTTAAACGCCCTGTAAACCTCCCCCCCCCCGACCCCGCCCCCAAACCCCCCTCAAAAACTCGCCTCGGGCTGCAGGGCCAGGAACCGAAGCGAAGGCGGTCCGATGAGCAAGGAAGTGCCGGCGACATCCTGAGCTTCCATTAAGGGGTACACTAAGGGTTCCTTTAAGGGCCCAAGGGCCCTTTCAAGCTTCTTCTCAGGGTACTTTAAGGGCTCATGTAAGTGAGCAAACTCCAAGCTTCCAGCGTTGAAGTGGACCCAGGCATTGAGCATCTTGGGCCACCATAAAAGGGGATCCTATTATAGAATCGTCTAATACCCCTGGAGGGGACCCTACTATCGAACCCTATATAGCACCCTTATGGGCCATAAGGCTTTACAGGGCCTTGGCGTGCATGGCTGTGCTGTTGATGATGAAGCCGTACGCCAGACGCTTGAACCCCCAAATCTCGAATCCATAAACCTTGAACACACAAGACCCTTACTCCTCACAGTCACACCCCCCAAACTCCTGAAAACCCCTAAGCCGTTATGAAACCCTAAAGCCCTATAGATCCCNNCCTGTAAGGAGCCCTTTCAGGAACCCCTAAGCAAAGTAATGCCGGGGAACTGTCACGGGCCCCCCCGAGTGCAAGAGCAGCTGGTCGGGCGCCCAGCCAGACCTCACATTTCAGAGCTTTGGCCCTCCTTCCAGCAGCTCTTAAGGGTCCACATGCCTCATAATCACAGTACATATATATATATGTATATA